CTAGCAGGTTTTGGGCAACCTTGAGGCAAATTGCTGCTGAGGCTAGAGGGGATTCACCCCTGTTGTCTGGGTCAGAACGACAGAGATTCGTACAGCCAACTCATTATATGAGACTATGTAGAAATAAAATGGGCAGAGGGAGAGGTAGATCAGGCACAGTGGATGTCGCTACTAGTTCTTGATCCGCAGGGGTAGACACTACATGTTACACATGATATTAGCTTAACCTCCCCGCTTCCCATCCAGTTGGATCTCTAAGGAATGAGTGAAAAATAGAGTGGCTGCTCCAGGTCCCTGTTTTGCACGATGCATACAGAAGATGCCAGCCAGACATGGAGATTGCAACATCAAATCTAACATTCCTGAAACTTCTGCATCTGTTTTTAACTGATTTGACGGCTCCTTCTTCTGCAGATAAGTGCATACCTTAGCAGGCTGTTATGCTACCTGAGCAGTGTGTGTATACACCAAAAGGCTTGACTGTGCAGTTAGAGATTTTTGCTTGAGTACATTTCAACTGCAAGCTTGAATATATTTCAGCTGCAATTCTTTTCTGCAGAAAGTGAGAAGAGGGCAATTTCTCAGCATAACTGAACATGAAGAACCATCCCTTTCCCTTTTGAGGTCACTCTAGAAGCTCATACTTGTTAGCAAAAACCAACACCGCCTGTTTCTGTGATAAGAGTGAGGACAGCTTGTAGTTTTCATTCCACAGACCTGAATGCCCTTGCACCCATGCAAAGTTTGGAGAGCTCAACCCAAGTCAGCGACGGGGTCTCTACCCTCAAGCAGGCCCTTGGAGCAGCCCAACATCCCATGCCACAGCCAAGGTGCCAGAAGAATAAGATTCCTGCCACTGTGTCACACACTCCAAACGACAAGAAAGGGGGAGCTACAGCCCACAGAGCTAATTCCTAATCTGTTCCTCAAAAACAAAATCATATACATATCTAGCACACGTATGATAACTTGTTCATTAAGAACAAGGGGAAACAGTGGTGGTGGGAAGCTGGGATTTGTTTTTTTTTTTTTTAGCTCAAAGTATTTTTGCAAAAAAGAGTGCTCCCTCCCATAGCATGTTACCCAGTTCTTGTCCCCCCTTCACACCGACATTCCCACCACAAATTTTCACTTGCCCACCCTTGCCTCCCCATGAGCCTGTCCTGCAGAAGTCACAATTTGTCTTGGTTTCCATGCAAGCAAACAGAAAGCCGCTAGTCATCGCCACCTGTGAGTCAAGAGGGGTGGTATGTGTGTTTTATTCTCCCTAACTGGCAAAAATTCAGGGAAGGAGCTCAGTGTAACAGCGCGGATCCCATCCATCATGAGCAGGGACTCACATTGCCAGCCTTGGCATCGAGGTCAGCTGAACAAAAAACCCTGGGCTGGAAACCAAACCAAAAGGAACCAAAAGGAACCAAAGGGCTTGACTGTGCAAACGAATTGCCAAAGAGATGCAGAGAGTGTCAAGTTCTGTAACTCCTTCCAAAACAATAGCTATTTAATGTTCAGTCACAGGTGCCTTCACAGCTGGCCAAAAAGTGATGTTTGCTTTTACCATCCCTATAGGAAGAGGAGCTCTGCCTGCCAAACTCGGACAGGTCTTTGCCACAGCGCAAGTACAGGGAGATATCACAGGACTGAATCTTGCTCTCTGGTCAACATAGACATGTGCTCAAAAGCTGAATTCACTGACGTTTCTCCTGGACATCAGCTGAACAACCCGTGTCCAGCTCTGCAGCCACCTCAGCAGACACTGATTCACAAGTGTCAGAGAAAAATGTCAATTTTGCTATCAGCTTAGCAGGGATGCTTCCTGTGACCTGGTCAGAAACAGCCCTGGCCACACCAAATCCTTCCTAAATCCTGATATTTTTGAGACACAAATGAATAATTATTTTGTTTGTTTTTTTTTGGGGGGGGGGGGAGAGTTGTTTGTTTGTTTTGGGTTTTTTTTGCTATGCTTTTTGCATTACTGCTTTTTGCTCCACAGAAAGTGCAGGTTCTTGGCCCATTATCCTACCCAGAAAGGTGCCCAGAGAGGCACAAGTGGACATTGATATCATCACCCCTCAAGCGTATACTTGCTGTCAAGAGCAAACAAACCTCGCACCCACATGGGTAAGAAATGCCACAAAATGTGTTTTTGAGGAGGAGAGGGAGTTTTAACAGCTCGTAGGTTTCCAGGGAGTCACTAATGAACTGATGAACATCACTTGGAGGCCAAGACTCACCTCATGCTTGTGGCCATGAGAGCAAGAGCAACGTGTGGGCACCCCATGGACCAGTGGCTGCTTCAGGAGATGCTCAGCCAAAGAGGATGCTCACCTGCAAGGAAGCCTACACAAAACACACCTGCATCCTGCCCTTTACACAGGTCCTTACCACAGGAAAAGAAAAACATGCGTGGGAGCAACGAGCTTTCAAGCTGCACAAGAGGTTTTCCGCAGCCCAAGTGGGATCCGCTGTTTACGAAATGAAAGAGAAACCGAATATGGGGAGAAATAATCGATGGAACCGAAGCGAGAAATGAGCAGGCAGCGGCTAGACGGAGCGGCCAAGTGCTGTGAGACTGATCTGCCAAACGGAGCAAACACCATTTGTTCAAGTTTCTTCTCAAGGGTCGCGTTTTTTTTCAAGTAGTAATAGAAATGTCACTCTCCTTCCATTGATTGGAACAGAATTCTCTGGAATGTATATATGTACATATGTATGTACATAAATATGTATAAAAATGTATGTATGAGTGTATGTATGTATTTGGTATTTCTTCAGAGTTTGAACTTGTTCTCTTTAACTATGCTTTAAAAAATCAAGAATTTCTACTGTTTAGGAGAGCTTTGGTTTTCCTTTTTTTTTCTTTTATATGTTTGTGTGAGTGAAGTAAATAAAAACAAATGTCTTCATGGAAAAACATTTCAGATGTGAAATTGAAATGCACAGTCATGTGCATGTATTGTCAAACAAAAAAAAAAAAATTTATGCAGGATTAATTCCAGCATTCTGTATTGACTTATTGTATAGGCTGCTCAGGCTCTCTTTCATCTGTCATTCTAGTTTATACCGTCAGCTTGAAAAACAAAACAAATCATATTTTTAATAACAAAGGAAACTTTGCTTAAGTTAAAGTCCTGTGTTAGTATTTTATGGTCAGCTAAGCCAAAGAAGGAAGACACGTTGGAATCAAATGAGTATGAATCAAAGGGAATTTTACCCCATTTACTTTGGGTAAAACCTGCTTTGCTTGGTCTAACTGCTAAATAAACTGGGATGCAGATTCAGCTTCCAGATAGGTTAAAACTCCCTCTAATGGCAGCTGAATAGAGGACAGAAAAGGAAGAAAATGTCTATGTCTATTTGAAACACAATTTTGCTATTTCTGCTCTCTTTTAATTTAATGTATATTCTTATAGGCAAAATATCACCACTATGAATTCTTCCGAGGAGTGTATCTTTAGCAAGTACTCAAGATTTTGTTGAATTACAGCAAAAACAACAAAGCTATATTGCTAAATTAAAATCAGTTTTGAGCAAAGGCATCTTGGTTGCTTTGACACGGGAAGTAACTTGCAAGTCAAAAAAGCGATTGCAAATCATAGAAGTGATAAAAGTGGCTCCAAACCTGCCTGTGATTGACAGCTCATCCTGTCCATGAGAAGGGTTGTGTGATGGAGCAGCACAACTCCCAGCAGAAACACCAGCACTTCCAGACATATTATAGGACCAGCGAAATAATCATCCAGAACTATAGAGTATGATAAAATAGGGAGGTATTAGATTCTGCTTATCCATGTCAGACAGAATTTATCCTTTGTAAGGATAATGTAAGAATGAAAAATTGTATTAAAATGTTAAGAATTAAGGTAACCTTACAAAGGACTAATAATGAGCAGATGTGTCTACAGTCATATATAGAGAGAAAAAATAAAAATCATTAATTAAGAAGGTATTGAGCTCAGTCATAATGTGAGCTGCTTATGTCTTTTTCTAGCACTCTCTTAAGAATTCAGGTTTCCTAGGCAAATTCTTATAGCAAACCCCTTTTCTTTCTGCTATCCCTTCAAAGGGACACAGACTTATAAAATTTAGGTATATCATACCTCAGCCTCTTTGTAGCAGAGGGATTCTGTGCATCATTTTTACAGCCTAATGTTCACTTCAATAAAAGCAAAACAAGTAACTCAGACTCCTGTTGGTGAACAGTGATTTTGTTTTCAGAAAGGAAATATTCCAGGGGAAAAAGATGTAGAGGAACCATAAAATAAAATTTTTAAAAAAATACAAATTGAATGAATTAAAAAATAAATTTGTTGCTCAAAATCTCACCAGAGCCAACTCCTGAGATCCAGTCTAATAACACTTCTGCTACAGGGGCACGAGATTTTATTGGGAGGTATGGAATAAATCACTTTTTATGTTTGCATGTACTCCCCCTTCAGCATAAAAATGGTATTCAGAACCTGATGAAAACCTCACTGAAGTTAATTTAAAAAAAAAAAAGAAAAATTTATACTCATATCCATGATTGATCTCTCCCTCTTCCATCAGCTATTAGAGGTAAAAGCAGAAGTGATTCCTCACGCTATCGTGATAGCCAAGAGGTATGTTGATAATGGTTGATAATAGCACACAAAACAAAGTGTATGTTTTTTGACCAAGGCATATATGTCTGTGGGAGACTAGACTGAAAACTGAGATCAGGAGATATTACCAGTGCAGCAAGGAATGTGTATGTTTGTAGTAATCTCATTTTATTGTATGATTTGAAGTGCTGCTTTAAGAACATTTCACAATACATGCAGTTTCATTTTTTAAAAAAATTAAATATTTAATTTTTTTTCCAGAGGTGAAAACATGCATATTTATGTACATCACTTAAAGAAGAAAAAAAAAGTACTATTTACATCAAAAAATCCCCTTTATTAATCTTTCGAGAGAAAAGGCAGACAGTAGCAATTTTGCAGGAAGCAAAGCATTCAAACTCTTCACCCTGACAATATTTACTGAGAGACATTAGCAACCGCAGAAGAAGGTCGTTTTAGGATGGATTCAACTGAAAACGACAGCGGCTCATTTGTGGACAGTTTTGTTGCGGCCTGCTTGGCCCCAAAGAAGTCTTTTGCGTACTTGTCTATCGTAAACTTGCATTTTTGGCTCTCTTTGGCACAGCTCTCTCTGTATTTCTTAGCAGCTTCTTCTAAAGCCTCTTTGGGAAAGGCTGCTCCGGGCTTCTCCGGGAATGCCTGTGGGAAGAGGGGCTGGAACGGGTGGTACTTGAGCAGCGGAGCTTTGGGGCTCTCCTTGCTCACCTTGCCCAGGATCTGCTCCGGAGGAGCCAGGGGGTCCTTGTCGAAAGTCCTTTTTGGCGGGGAGAAAGCGGAGCGCTCCCGAGCTTCATGTGGGAGGCCGGACATCTCGCTGCACAGCTGCCCGTCCCGCGCGTGGCCCGGAGCGAGCGGGTTTTCCAGCTTCGGGGACACCATGTCCCTCTCTCCGTGGGCTCCGTCCTGGCTCTGCGAGGCCTTCGCATCCCACCCGGCGCCAGGCTTGAGCGCCGGGACGCCGGTGGCGTTCAGGAGGCACTGCTGATAGAGGAGGGCATCGCTAATGGGGCTGCATTTGGGCCACACCACGAAGCGGGCGGGCAGCGGATACTGCCGGTAGGTCGCCGCCACGCTGACGTTGGAGGAAATGAGCTCCATGTTCCCAGATCCCGAATACTGCATGGTTAGGTCAAGGCAGGTGGGTAGGAAGCTGCAAAACTCCTTGCCGGGAGCATCGACCTGAGCGGGGTTGAAGGCTGCTTTGTAGGAGCCGTATTCGGGTCCGTGCACCATGCGGTTGGGGAGGAAAAGGGCTGCCGCTTGCGTGGCCTCCATCATCTCCCTTTCCTTATACTCCCTCTCTAGCATAATGTTCTCCAGCTCCTTATCAGCAAAAGCCCGTCTCTTCCTCATCCTGTCACTGACAGGGGGCGGCAGGGGCGAGCCCCCGGCCAGGTAGGGGTCTGTGGGGATGGGACGGTAACCTAAAAACAACAGAGCAGCGTTAGGAGCGGAGCCCGGCACGGACATCCCTCACGGAGCGAGGCTGGCTGCTCCGAGGGGACCGAGGGCTTTGGAGATGCCTTTTGTCACCAAGAGACCCGGGAACTGCGGGCAGAGGGGAGATGGGAAGCAAAAAAAAAGGCAAAAAGGCAAAACCCTGCTGTGTTTTACGAGTGGTATTGCATCATGCAGCTGACGGGGTAACTACACGATTTTAGCAAACACGGGGAGTATTCAAACATTCCTTCCACCAAAAAGAAAACTTAAGCGCAACTTAAAAATCCCATGTAGTCACTCAGTTTAACTAAATTCATCCAAGATAACTAATAATTCATTCAACCTTATTTGTTCTGACTGGATAAACTACCCCATCGAATCAGTAGAACAATGTGCTCGAGGAAAGGCAATCGGGTTTTGCCTGTTTTCACCCCAAATCATCTCACACAGGTTTCCCACTGCCAGGGAAGATATCTATACCGATGGCTGATGCCTTTCCCATTTTCTGAACATGAACCATTTTGTGCGCATTATTATTAGAAAGAAGAAAATTATAAAAAGAACTAGGAGGAAAGAAAGAGAAAGTTGTGATAAATTAGAGGAATAGAGAAGAGATTTTTAAAAGATTAAACTGCAGAAGGAAAAAGGAGAGGTTTCTAACAAGACAAAATTTCAAGCGGAGAGACACTTGCAAAGAGGAGAGCTTTTTCTTTTGAAAAAGAAAGCTAGATTTGAATTTTTTTCCCTAATTTCCCACCTTGTAGAACAGATAAAGCAGCTGTAGAAATAAATTCGAGCACAAACAGAGTGGAGGAGAGAAAAAGAATCTGCCCCCTTACAAAAATTCGAACAATTAAAATGTCAGTCCTCCGTACTTGGCATTATTTCCAAGGAAAAAAAATATAGTGATCTATCTGACTATATCTGACTATATCTTGTAAAAAGGTAAATGAGGCTCATGTGTTAGATGTTGAGTTTAAAAAACAAAATCATTACATTCTATTACGTTAATTTCCAAATAAGACTAACAGAGTAAATTATTTCGCACCGCAAAACACTGCTGGTGGGTAGCCATGTAAAAGAAACATTGACTTGTAACAGTCACTCTCAAATTTCAGCTAAGAGCTGCCAGCATTTTGCGGGTTTTTCTTTTTCTTTTTTTCCCCTTTTTTCTCTTTACCTTTTTTTTTTTCTCTTTTTCTTTTCTTTTTCATTTTTCTTCCCCCTGCTCCTTTTTTTTTTTTAATCAGTAATTTTTCGATTTTGTTTTTTTTTTTTTTCTTTCCCCTGCTCCTTTTTTTTTTTTAATCAGTAATTTTTCGATTTTGTTTTTTTTTTTTTTCTTTCCCCTGCTCCTTTTTTTTTTTTAATCAGTAAGATTTCGATTTTGCTTTTGATTCTTTTTTAAAATTTTCTCCGTAACAACAGCCACATCGGTTCGAACGAAGTGGGGACGGGAAGATTAAAAAACAAAGTGAAAAACAAAAAGGTGCAGAAGAAGAAACCCACACTAGCAGGTTAGGAAAGAAGGCGGCCGCGAGGGCGGCGGGCGCACGTCGAGGCGCGGCGGGGCGGCCCGCGGGAGCGCGGCGCAGCGCGGGGCGGACGGGAAGGCCCGCGGGCGGTCCCTACCTTCGAGGATGCTCTTGGCCAGCAGGCTGGGCGCCCGCGCGTGCCGCGGGTAGGCGGCGCGGCGCTCGGCGCCCGACGGCTTCGCCGAGAGCCCCTTCTTGTCCTGCGGGCGGCAGAGCCGTGAGCGCCGCGGCCGCGCCGGGCCCCGCGCCGGGCCCCGCGCCCGCCCCGCGCCTCTCCTCACCTCGGTGGCCTGCTGCCGCCGGAGCGCCACCTGCGCGGCCATGACGCGCTGCCGCTCCACGACGAGCAGGCAGTTGGCGCACTGGCAGTCGCGCCAGCGGCAGAAACGCTTGTGGCCCTTGAGGCACGACACGACGCCGTGGTTGCGGCAGCGCGCGCACTTGGGCGTGCGGCTCAGCTTCCGCGGCTCCGGCCGCGCCGCCCGCCGCGCGCCGCCCCCGACGGCCGCGCCGTCCTCCTCTTCCTCCTCCTCCTCCTCTTCCTCCTCCTCCGCTGCCGGCGGCGGCGGCGGCGGGGCCGCGTCGGGCCCCGCGGCCGCCTCCAGCTCCAGGCTCTCCACGTCGATGTCGCCCTCGGCGCGGCCCTCCGACATGTCGCGAGCCTGCAAGAGAGGGGCGCCGGCCGTGAGCGGGACGGCGGGGCGCAGGGCCCCGGGGCGGGCGGGCCCCACGGTGTGGCGGGGCCCCGGGGTGTCCCCGCGCGGCCGCGCTCACCGGGCGCGGGCGGCGGCTCCCGCGGGCGCCGTCGGGGCTGGCAGCGCTCAGTGCCCGCCGCGCCGCGCCCGCCCCGCCTTATCAGCGCCGCCGCCGCCGCCCATTGGTGCGCCCGCCCGCGCCGCCGCGCCCCATTGGTCCGCGCCTCCCGTCCCGGCCACGCCCACGCCCGCCCGCCCCACGCCGCGCGTGGGTGCGCGACCGCGGGCAGCGAGCGCGCCCGTGGGGGGAACGGGGAGCGTGGGCGCTGCGAGCAACTCAGGCTGGGGGGGAATGGGGGAGAAGGGGAAAATAGGGCGTTTGCGGGGAGTTTTCCACGCGTGGAGGCGGCAAATTCGCAGGGAAGCCCCTTCTCGTGGGGCGGGAGGGAGGGCAGCAACGGCAGCGCCCTCCGCTCGGAGCGCAGGAACAGCTCGCTAAACGTTATTCCTTATTCCTATTCCTATCAGTATTATCATTATCACTGTTATCATTGTTATCATTACCATTGTTATCATTATCGGGTCGGGAAACAAAACGGAACAGCGTCGCTTTCGACAACTGAGGCGAGGCGCGATATTCGTTTGTTTTTTTCAGCATTTCCCTCCCTTGGCGATATTTCACGCAGGCGGTTTGAGCTGTTACCTAATTTTTGTGCTCCTGCTCCCTGACTAAGGCTGCTACTCGGGAATTGGGGGGATGTCGGGGAAATAAAAAAAAAAAATAATCGAAAATATATTTTTAAAAATAAAATAAACGAAGAATGATGCGATTTGTCCTGCCGGTAGCCGCAGCTGTGCCAGTGCACTGTAAAACAAATAAAGGTGGGAGATTCCCAAAAAAGGGGGGAAAAAGTGGATAATATGTACCTCGGTGGCTCGCGGCTTCGGACAAAGGGAGAGCAAGCAAATTTAAGAAGAGTATGGCCAAGATAATATTATTTTAAAAAGAACGAAGAAAGAAAGAAAAAGACGCTGAGGTAATGTGTCAAATCCACCGCCAACGAGAAAGCCAACGATTTGTGGGATAAGCCGGGAACGCGATGCACCAAGAACGAGTGATGTTTTATTGCGCTTTCCCGAGAGGTGTGCGAGCAATAAATACTTACCGTGTATATAATAAACACACTGGGGCCTGGCATGATAAGAAGTGAAGGAGGGCAGTAAAGAGGAAAACGAGTGTTGCGTGATCGGAGGACAGTGCGGCGAGGCGGAGAAAATAACAACAATAATATTGTTTTTAAAAAAAAAAAAAAGATGAAAATGAAATTATCTGGTTTTGCTTTAAAATGAAATTATCTGTTCTTGCTGCGGGACGCGCTGCCGGGGGGAAGCGGCTCCCGCCCCTCGACGGGCAGGACGAGGCCGGAGGGGAAAGCGCATCCCCGCATGGCAGGTATTATTCATCCCAAAAGAGACCCTGGCTACTGTTTGACTTATAAGCATGACTAAAAGGCAAATACCCCAGGAATTCCACTTTCCCCCGCGGGGTCCCTCTTGAAAGGCGCGGGCGCGACAAAGGACCTGCTAGGTTAGGATACGGGAGTCCCCCCCGCCTGTAAACCGACACCGAATTGCAAGGGAAGATTTTGCGGGCCGCGGGAGTGAATTACAAAACAGTTCGCCTCCTGTTTACTTTATCCGCGGGGAACTGTGAAGTCCAGCCACTATTTTAAAGCGTGTTTGTGTAACTTTTCTCCTTCTTCTTCTTTTGCTTGCGCTACATTCTGCTGTGCATTTCGGCTCCCTTCCAGCCCTTTTAATTAATTTATTTATTTATTCTTTTCCTTCTCCCGAAGCGCTACCTGCAGACATAAGTGCCCCGTGGGCCTGCGCTTCTTGCCCGTGGGGCGCCCCGCGTGTGGTGGGAGAGGGAGACACGGAGTTTTGTGGTGCTGGGGGGCAGACCCACGGCCGTTCCCTAGCGGGCCACGTGGCAGGAAAGAGGGAAAAAAATGATACAAATGATAAAAATAGAAAAAAAAAAAAAGCTTAAATTGTTAAATTTAAAAAAAAAAATGGACTAAAAAAAATAAAAATCACCGCTGTGTCGTTTTAGAGACTCCAAGGAGAGCTGGGTTTTGGACGCGGCGGCCGGGACTCGCTCTGCACTTTCCGTGGGAGGGCCGAGCGCGCAGGTGCTGCGGAGCCCGCTCCTCTCATCCTCCTCCTTCTCCTCCTCCTTTTTCTCCCCGGGTAAAAAATTAAAATAAAATACAGTAAATGCGCTGTCGGGTTGGGGCAGGCTCACCAAACGGCAGCCCCGCAGGAATGCTTTGATCCCGGCCTCCCTGCGCGCCGCCGCCGCAGACCGCGCTGCCAAACGCGGGTCCGGGGCGCTCGCTTGGCCGCCGATGGCCCCCGTTAATCCGAAATAAACGGACTCCCTTCCTCGATCGCCCCCCGACCCCTGCACTGCATCATATCCGAGCGGCCGGGTCGTGTCGGGGGGCTCTGCTCCCGTGTGCTGCATCCTGGGGTGCTTCCACAGTGAAAAATAATAATAATAATAATAATAATAATAATAATAATAATAATAATAATAATAATAATAATAATAATAATAATAATAATAATAATAATAATAATAATAATGTGATCAGTTTTTTTTCTACAGCGTTATGCGTTTTTTCCCGCTCTGGGGCAAAAAAAATAAATAAATAAAAATAAATTTCTGCATCCATCTCCTATATTTTGCAAGCAGCATCTATAGCAAGATGAAAACTCCAGATTTTTTTTTTCACGTTTTAAAAAATTATTATTGCTATTATTTCCACACGCTTTTCTTTCTCAAAGGATTGTATGTTGAACAGTTTTAAACACGCAAGTGTTATTTGTTTAACGCAGCTTTGCTTTACACTTTACGCACAAAGTCAGAAGCGGAATTTTCTATCAAAAAGGGGAAAAAAAAGCACTATGAATATGTATAATAAATATGTAAGAACTGCCGACAGCAATATGTTCTTTATGGTATGATATAGAAAGCAAATTTTATGGACTCTGAGAGTAGTTCCACTGCCTTTGTAGAAATGTTTACTTTGTTAAGGAGGGCAAGGGTGAGCTTTTATAGGGAGGCTTGCACGTTACACCGAGATAATCTTCCGTTGTGTGAAATAGCAAAAAGCAAAAGAAATCAAAAGCAACAAAGGCAGAGCTGCCACCACTGCCGAAGACCGGAGAGGTTCTTGGAAAGGGTCCCGAGGATACAGATGAGATAGGGATACCTCTTGAGCAGCCTCCGAGTCTGGGACTTGGGAACATTGGGACAGGTCCATTCCAAAGCCATCCTCACCCAATCCTGTGCTTAAATGGGGAAAATTCGCCCAGTTAAATGGGGAAAATATCCCTAGGAGGGCATGCATGCCATCAGTAGCAGTTCTGTTGTGCCTCGTAGACAAACTGGCCTTGCGTTTGCCAGCACCTAATAGGCCAGTAGATGTTTGGCAGGTCTCCTGCTAAAATGCACTAGAAAGCTGGATCTGCTCTGGCTGTGAATATCAGGAATCCAGCATGCAAGCAGTAAGCACAACAAATCATATAGCCAACCAACACACTTCCTCACTATAACCTCTGCAAATGTCTTAGGTAGTTTGGCAAATCTCTTATTGCAATAAATTCTAGTGAAGCTTTGGGGTTTCTTTTTTTTTTTTTTTTTTTTTTTTTTTTTTGAACATATGGTCTTAAATCAATTTAGCTTTTTTGAGTCACTGCAGTTTGTTGTGGAGATGTTGTCTGAAAATTTGTTTGCACTCTGGCAATTTTATTCAAATGTCAACCAGATGCAGAAAGTATTGGGTTTGGGTTTTTATTTTACAGCCCTGGAAAACAAAGGTCAAGTCTTTGCAATGTAAATTGTGTTTTTGATCACCCTATATTTTCCAAACAACAGAAAGACTTTCTTACAAATTGTTTCCCCACCTCAGGATATATTTTAATCATATGCAAATAATTCAAACACTAATAAGACACCTGCTAAATCGAGTGAGTTGGGCAGGCTATGGTTGGGCTCAGCAGTCACGCAACCATTGCGAGCCAGATTGTGTTCTCATTTATTGTTTAGCATTGTGTTCTCTGACTGGCCTTATTAATGGCCTGAGGTATTTGTCAACATGAATAACAGCAACAGGGCCTGGCAGAGAACCACAGATCACTTACAGTGAGATAGGCACAGATTATTACTCTGTAAGCAAATACTCTGTTGAAGTTTGCTTGCCACAATTTTATTATCATAGAAGTTACAGTGCTGCCTGCAGAGCGTGATATTGCACTGCACAAATGCAAATATTAGACTCTGTCCCAGGGTGAATTTGCTATGAAATTTGCAAAACCCTGAGGTGCCTGAGGTGGATGGAGCAAGTGCAGTCTACTCACAGCACGTAAGAGATCCAAAACCCTTCGGAACTCAGAAAACACGTTGTATTCATTCACTCCTGTGAGCTTTTTACTTTCACTGAGTTTTTCTGAAGGTTTTCTTCACCTAAGAACTTAACATAATTTAAAAAAAAAAAAAAAAAAAAAGGAAGGTGTAATTCCCTGTAACAGGAGATTGGCCCCTGATATGCAGAGACCACAGGTACTTGTGAGCCCCCAGCACATCAAAACTCTCCCACAACTAGAAATAAGCATTCACTGGCATGGGGTGACCTCCTGGACAATCTGATGTTTGAGAGAGCAGAGGTTGCTGCACCTATGTGTTTTACGAACACATTGCGTCCTTATTTTCATACTCCACTCAGCTAGTACTTCTGCATTGGTTGCTTCAATATCTCTTCTGTTTTCTTCTGCTTTGTTAAAGCTTGATTCTACCTAGAAGGTCTCCAGAAACATGGCAAAGGGCACAGAGCACAGAGGTGACCTAGCTGTAAGACATTCATTCAGCTTTTACATTAGAGGTGTTTCAA